ACACGCACACAATCAAGTCTCTTTTCTCTCACCGACTTAAGTCACTTTCGTCCCCTCCAACACCATCCCCCTTCCAAGCTCATGTCTTTTTCTCTTTTTTTTCTAATAACCCAGTGCAGCTGGTGCTTCCCACATGTGTTTGGGGAGGACCATCCACTGCAGCACGTATGAGCAACATACGTGTTACCACAACCCCCTGAGGCATTCTTCCTCCCCTGGCTGCTCTCAGCTTCCTGTAGCTACTCAGTTAGGAGTGGAGCCTTGTGAGCCCCTCCCTGTCTAATCTTCAATTTTTGCTGTGAAACCTTTTTTTCATGAATATACCTATGTAAAAAATGCCTACAAAACATGATTACGAAGATTTACTGAGGTTTATTACACGAAGGTTTTCCTGTATCCCAAGAAATCCCTTTTAGCTTGGAAACTACCTGTTAACAAATTATAGGAGTCTTTCCTACTTGGGTTGCTCCCCCCCCATTAGATTTTCCATTTTTCCCTAATATGGTTTTTTTTTTGTTTGTTTGTTTTTTCAAGACAGGGTTTCTCTGTGTAGCTTTGGAGCCTATCCTGGCACTCGCTCTGGAGACCAGGCTGGCCTCGAACTCACAGAGATCCACCTGCCTCTGCCTCCCGAGTGCTGGGATTAAAGGCATGCGCCACCAACGCCCAGCCCAACTGTTGGGTTTTAAACTAGTAGTTCAAGGTGGGAGTTTAAAAGTTAACCTGGTTTAGTGCATTTTAAGTAACAAGACAAACATTTGCTTGTCTATTTATTTATGATTCTAGGTGAGCTATGTTATCAGCCCACTTTTTAATTTTTGAGATAAGGTCTCTTTAAGATGCCCAGGCTGGCCTTGAGCTCCCACTATAGCCCAGTCTGGACTTCAAGCTAGGTGAGACCCTCTTAGACTCAGCCTCCCAGTAGGTGCAGTTACATACCTGTGGCATCAGACCTGACTTCATCTTAATTTTTTAAAAACAGAAACAGATTTTAAAAAAGGAAAATAGATGGAAAGAAAGAAAAAAAAAACTCTAAATAAAGCCTTGTTATTTTGACAAAACAAGTTACCTTACTTGTGAAAATGTGAAATGGACCAGGCTAGATGGCGTTACCACTGCCCATGTGGAAAACACTTTTGCCTTCATAGTGTAAAGTGTGAGTAACCCTGACAAACATGTTTCTTCCCACGTGTCAGCTTTAAAAAGGAGATTCTGGTTTTTATTCTGATGTTAGTGTGAGTGAAATACGAAGGGTACTTTTGGTGTTCTGAACAGCTTGCTGTTGTGGTTAGTATATTTGAGAGAGCACCTGTTAAGTCTAGTGGGAGACTGGATGTTTCCAGTGGACATGGAACTCAATACCATTGTCAGCCCTGTCTTGTCTTACTATTCATTTGGCACATAAAATAAATGCACATGTCTGTTTTGGTTATGTAAAATGTCTCCTAGTTCATAATAAAGCCCTTCAGTATTTACCTAACAGACTGTTTACTTAATAGAAAACAGACAGGACAGGAGATTCCCAAGGCCTTAACAAAATACACTGGTTAGGTAGCTGTGCTTTAATTAGAGTTTAGCACAGGAAATCGTCGCTTTGTAAATTGTGAATTATTAGTTTTGTGAGGGACTTTGTTTAGGTTTTAAAGCCACCTCAGTTTTAACAGTTCTGCTGTTTCAGGTGTAAAGTGGAAGCATGTGTTGTTCTGAATATAAAGGAAAATGTCATAGTATCTTAGTATGAGTAGACACCTAGTATCCTTTTTGTCAGTCAGATGTGCTCAAGCCTTTCCCTGTGTGGGTGCTGTGAGAGGGAATTAAACTTTTCACAAAATGACTCTTTTTGCTGTGGTGGTGGTGGTGGTGGTGGTGGTGGTATCTACTTTGCTGGCTTTTAGCTGCAGAACTTACCTGAGTCCCTAACATACAGGCTTAGGGAGCAGTTCTCTGAACCTGGCTTGAGAAGGGCTGTAGGTAAAGTTTACATGTTGTTGCCCCTGTTTCTGTGAAATCCCACTAAATAGACCAGGTTTTATCCTGTTCTTGTTTGACCCCGGTTGACCCTGGGCCACTGAGAAGGAAAAGTTGGCAGCTTGAAGAAAAGGATGATAACACACCAGGAATGAGCCCATCCCCAGTGAGTGACAGGGTCAGGGGCTTTTACTATGGAATCAGTGATCAGTGGTGAAAACACTTGTCAGCCCCCTTCCCCCTTTGTGAAAGCCCAGTTATTTCCTCCCTCCTTCCCTCCCTCCCTCCCTCCTCCCTC